GTAGAGCCCTTGCCTAGCATATGTGAGCCCCAGTCTTCAATCTTCAGTTCTGAAGCAGATGCCCTTCAAAATTAAAAGCAACTTCCTGGTAACTGTTTTTACCTCCTCATTCTGAGGATAAATGCCGAGGAAATTAAGGTTGACGAATTTCTAATAAAGCACAGCCTAACTAAATCTCTATGTTTCTTGGTTGGTTGTTTTGGTACAGGGATTAAGCCTTGGGGTGCTTTGTTACTGTGCTACATCCCCTGACCTTTTTTAAAAATTTTCATCAAATTGTGGAGGCTGGCATGGTGATCCCCTGTGGCTCCAGAAGCTGAGGCAGGAAGATCACAAGTTCAAAACCAGCCTCAGCAATTTAGTGAGGCCCTAAGCAACTTAGCAAGACCCTGTCTCAAAAAAAAAAAAAAAAAAAAAAAAGGGGGGGGGGGGGGGGAGGGGGGCTGGGAATGTAGCTCAGTGATAAAGCAACCCTGGGTTCAATCCCCAGAACAAAAAAATGTTAATACTGGCCTTGAATTTGGAGTCCTCCTCCCTCAGCATCTCTAGAAGCTGGGATTACAAACCTGAACAACCATGCCTGGCTCAGATGTTATTTTCTGGCATTCTTAGCTTTAGGGTTGGTGGAAGCTAGTGGTCCTTCCTCTCCAGTAACTATGGAGATTGAGGCAGGAGGATCACAAATTCCAGGGCATCCTCAACAATTTCATGAGACCCCATCCCAACATAAAAAAGGGCTGGGGATGTACCTCAATATTAAAGCACAGTGGATTATATTTCCAGTACCAAACAGATGGACCAACACACACAGATTATGAAAGGTTTACCTAATAGTTGAGAGAATGTTAAGTCAGATACAAAGGTTAAAAGTAAGACAGCGGGCTGGGGTTGTAGCTCTGTGGCAAAGCATTTGCCTAGCATGTGTGAGGCACTGGGTTTGATCCTCAGTACCATATAAAAATAAATAAATAAAATAAAGGCATGGTGTCCATCTGCAACTAAAAAAAAAAAAAAGTTTAAAAAATAAGGGTTGGGGTTGTGGCTCAGTGGTAGAGCACTTGCCTCTCATACGTGGGGCACTGGGTTTGTTCCTCAGCACCACATAAATAAAGTAAAGGTATTGTGTCCATCTACAAAAATAATAATAATAAAAAAATAAAATGGCTATTTTTCTAAAGGGCCTGAGATAGTACAAGATAATTTTGACATACAATATGTTCTCTCTCCATAATCGCTATGTTCTAGGCAGCCAAAGCCAAACAGTCCACAGGATTTGTGACATAGATACATGATGGAAAGTTCCAGTCCAGAGACCCAGTTACAAAGTAAAAAAAGAAAAGTGTAAACCAGGCATGGTAGCACATGCCTATAATTTCAACAGCTCCGGAGGCAGAGGCAGGAAGATCATGAGTTCAAAGCCAGACTTGGCAACTTAGTGAGGCCCTGAACAACTTAATGAGATCCTGTCTCAAAATAAAATATAGGGCTGGGGCTGTAGCTCAATGGCAGAGTGCTTGCCTAGCATGCGTGAGGCACTGGGTTTGATCCTCAGCACCACATAAAAATACACAAATAAAATAAAGGCATTATGTCTATCTACAACTAAAAAAAAAATGCTCCCAGTTTAAGATTAAACTTTAAAAATATATATATTTAAAAAAAGGGCTGGGAATCAGGCTCAGTGGTTAAAACCTTTGGATTCAATCCCCAGTACCAGAAAAAAAAAAAAAAGTGTAAACAGAATGGAAATGTCCATAAATCTAGTAACTCCCCGGCTGCCCCCAGTACTGGAATTGAACCCAGGGGCACTCTCCCACTAACCTACATCCCCAGCCCTTAGTTACCCATGCATGACCTCAAACTTGCAATCCTCCTGTCTTAGCTTCAAGAGTAGCTGACATCACAGGCATGTGCCATAATGACATGCCATAATGCCTGGTTGGTAACACTCTTTGTGATTTTTTTTGGGGGGTGCAGAGGCAGAATTTAATCCAGGTCCTCACACACTCTAGGCAGGTACCCTACTACTGAGCTACATCCCCAGCCCTTTGTTTTTGGTACTGGGGATTGAACTCAGGGGTACTGGACCACTGAGCCACATCTCCAGCCCTATTTTGAATTTTATTTAGAGATAGGGTCTCACTGAGTTGCTTAGTGCCTTCCAGTTGCTGAGGATGGCTTTGAACTCGTGATTCTCTTATCTCAGCCTCCCAAATCGCTGGGATTACAGGCGTGTGCCACCATACCCGGCCCTTTTTATGTTCTTTTTTTTTTTTTTAATGTCAATGGACCATTATTTTATTTATTAACTTATTTATACGTGGTGCTTAGAATCGAACCTAGTGCTTCATACATGCTAGGCAAGCGCTCTACCACTGAGCCACAATCCCAGTCCCCTTTTTGTTTTAAAACAGCATCTCATTAAGTTGGTGAGGCTGGCCTCAAACTTGTGATCCTCCTGCCTACCCAGTCACTGGGATTACACCATGTGCCATGGTGCACCACTCTAGCTGATAATCTCTTAATTTGCGTTTTGAGCTCTGGGTACTATATAGCTGTATAGCCACCTCATGTGGTTGTTCCAGATGCTTACAAAGGGTAGAAGTGATCCAAGATCATGTTCCAGGCAGCGGTTGGAATTGTCCAGTATCCTAATGGCCTCCAGACTCTATTTCCAAAGCTCTTTCAATGTTTTCATTGTAATTTTCCTTTTATTTTCCCAATGGTAAATTATATGATATGTATGCTTAACCATAATACAAAAACAACTAGAAAATTCACAAAGTACATTATCACTTGATTATAATAAAAAATAATATTACTTTGAATTTTCTAGTTTCCAGCTGCTCAGGAGATCTCATCCATGACACAAAGCACTCACCCTTCAGTAATTACTCACTGGTCCAACCAAGGTTCCCAGGCAAACAAAGACACTCCCATTAAACATGACATGCAAATGGACTAGAAATGACCTCCTAGAAGCAAAGGGCAGGCCTCTGTTTTGGCAGGGTAACATTCTTTTGATACACAACAGTTAGAGTGAGTGGTCAGTGGCTATGGAAAATATTATGATCATGCTTTATTACGGTAGGACCTTGGGATATAGCACAAGGCCTGGTTTCACTGGCTGTGTTGAACCTTCTGGAAATTCTGAGTATGAGAATAATGAGGAACCCAGAGATGACCCATGTATAGGCAGCCAGCCATTATATTTCCTATCATCTCAATCCCTGGACCCAGTTTACTTCAAGAGAATTTATATATAGATGTTTTATCTGCTTGGGTCATGGTGCAGGCTCCAACTACTCCCAAGGCGTGGTCACTGGAGGGCCTACCTTCTAAGAGCCACCTTTCTCTCCCTCCGTAAGATCCATAAGCCTAGAAGTTCTGAGAATGCTCCTTCAAATGGGCAGAGACTGTATTCAGCTACTAGAGCTGAGGAGTCAGATTTTCTTACAATAAAGGGACAGCACTGAAAAAAATATGGCCTTGGGGCTGGGGATGTGGCTCAAGCACACTCACCTGGCATGCGTGCGGCCAGGGTTCGATCCTCAGCACCACGTACAAAGATGTTGTGTCCACCGAAAACTAAAAAATAAATATTAAAATTCTCTCTCTCAGGCTGGGGATGTGGCTCAAGCGGTAGCGCGCTCGCCTGGCATGCGTGCGGCCCGGATTCGATCCTCAGCACCACATACAAACAAAGATGTTGTGTCCGCCAAGAACTAAAAAAAAAAAAATTCTCTCTCTCTCTCTCTTTAAAAAAAAATAAAAATAAAATAAAATTCTCTCTCTTAAAAAAAAAAGCAAAAAAAAACTATGGCCTTTGGAGTCACATGAGCCTGGACATGACCTCCAGCCTGGGACAAATTCTTGTCCCAGTTTTTTCACAAATTGAGAATATGGTAACATATAGCTTGCAGAGTTCTGGGGAAGAGTAACTTGAACACCACCTTTTCCCTGAAGCCTTCCCAGTTTAATGCTTATATCTGCCTCAGCCCTTTAAAACAGCAATTTGGTGAGATCAATCACATTGCCTAATGCTGCTGGTTTTCTGTGCTGACTTGGAAACTCAAGTTTAGAGCCTCTTTAAACCGACTCACTCCTAAGGACCAGTTGTTCTGACACTGATAGTCTCTTTTTCTGTTTGTTTGCAATGCAGCCCAGGGCCTCTTGCATGCTCAGCAAGCACTCTGCCACTGAACTACATCCCCAATCCCATTGATAGTCTCTTATAAAAGATTATGATTCCAGTCTGACACTTATGGCCATACAATCTTAACATTTTGACCGATCTCTGCTGCAATTCCTTCATCTGAAAAGTGGAGAATAATTGAATCTCCCCATATCATAGGATTGCTGGGAGAAGTAAATGGGTTAATACACTTACCACTATGTATCATATAGAAACATTTGTGATTATCATCTCATGTCACCACCTTGTTTCTTCAGTAAATGCTGCCTCACACCTGGAGAACTGAAGGCACATGTAAAAGCCCACCTACTAGCCTCAGCATTCTATTTATTTTCCTTTTTGAAGTCCAGGGTAAAATTTGGTATGCTCTCTACTCTCCTTTTTAATTTTCTTCCACTCCATCTTTTTTGAGGGGAGGGGACTGAGCACATGGGATGGCTAAGCACAGCTCTATCCCTCCTAAGAACATATTTCCAGGAACCTATTGGGCCACTTCTAACCGCTAGATGGCCACATTACAGGGTGATTATTTCCTTAGGCAAGCAAACGCTTCAGCCCTCTAAAACAAGATTTCCTGGGGCTGGGATATCAACAGGAAGTCCTGCAGAGAAGAGCTCTGCCAAAACATTCATTCCAAGGAACTGATTGGTAAAGCAGCAAATTTGTCCAATCCTGTACAACATCCTGCAGCTCCACATGTGGCCCATTGCAGACCTCACCCACAGATGGACCTACCCCTCTGGATTCTTGGGACAGGAAGATCTATAGATAAGGTCATCCCAATGTAAGAAAACCATAAGAAAAGTTGCATTTACAAAGTGGTTGGGCCATTTATTGGTACTAGGGAAAGTGTTTCTTTACAGGAGGAAAGGAACTCTTTAATACTAAAGTCTTTTCTTTTTTTCTTTTGCCTGTCTGGGGATTGAACCCAGGGTTTAGCAAATTCCAGGCAAGCATTTTCTTTTTTAATTTGTCCTAGCCCCCAGGCTGACCTCCAACTTATGATCCTCCTGCCTCAACCTCCAGAGTAGCTGGGATTACAAGTGAAAAGTCTCACCCATTTTATGCGAACTTGAGCCCAAACTCTCCATATGTACACAGGTTAATGACGATCAGGAACAAATACTTGAGTTAAATAAACTGAACCAAATATTCCTAGTACAAAATGATAAAGGAAAGGGAGGAGAGGGCAACGTTACAGCTTTTACACAATGCTTCAGGCAAAAACAGCTAACAATCCCCACTGTCTCCCAAGGTAGTCATTTAATAGTCAGTGATCCAAGTTCTAAGAAAATGTCCTGGAAAACAGGAACAAACCTCCCCACTCCCGCTTCTGTGACCTGCAATTAAGAAGCCAAGTTTTTAAGAACCCAAGACCGATGCTCTTGGCAAAGGCATTCAGAATCTCCAGTACGAGGCTTCAACTTTCTCATCTGTAAAAGGCAGACGCGGCGAGATCTGCTAGGCATCCAAATCAAAGTCATCGCGCTCCTCATTGTATTCCAGCACGTGCCTCTTGATCTTGGAGGAGTCGACCCAGGTGACAAAATCCTCCATGCTGCGAGTGACAAGGAAGGCGGGATCGGTAACCACGTCCGGGCCGACACGCACGTGGCCCTGCTCCACGAAAGTTACGGCAGCCTGGAGATGCTGTGCCATGCGCAGTTTGAGGAGCACTGTGGGAAGGCGGCGGCGACAGAAGGACGAGGCTGTGACGAAATCGCAGAGCTCGAGCGATCCGCGCGTCGGCACCAGACCGAGAGCATACAGCTTGTCCAGAAGCGCGGCAGAGGCGCGCACGCGAAACGGGTCACGCTCGGGGAGGTCGCGCAGTCGCCGCGCCAGCTCGCGCACCGCGCGGCTCAGCTGGTTGTACCGGGTGTAGTCTTCACGCCGCTGCAGACGGTAACGCCGCAGCACGCGCAACTCGTGCAGGTTGTGGTCAGTGACTTCCCAGTTCAGGAAGTCCACCTGCTTCAGTAGCTTCTGCTCGTGGAACTTAAGCTTCCGCACCATGATGGCGGCAGCCGAAACAGCGAGAAGCTAAATTGAAAGCGCGTTCAGACGCCCGAGCGACTACCGCAGCGACGCCAGAGTACCGAGTTCCTTGAAGGCCCTGGGCCAATGAAAGAAAGGCTAGGAGCCACGCCCCCCAACCCCGTTGGTCAGAGTTGGGCCACACCTTTGCATCCGCATCTCGCGTTTCTTGTGTCGTTCTCGTTGGCGGGCGTGGGGGAGGCGTGAGAAGTGCCCGCGGTGGGTAGTGAAGGAGAATCTGGAGGCGACTTTGCGGTTCTTAGTAACGGAGAATGCATCCTCTAGTGCAGTAACAATTTCTTCTCAGATTTCTACCCTTTGGGGACTCTCAGCAGAGGGTTTCCCCGAAAACCTGGGGAGGCCAATTCCGCGGGAGAGGAGTGATGACCGGCTCTTGAAGTTGGGTTCACTGCGCTCGCGACGACCCAGCGGCGGAGGCTGACAGAGCAGTCAGCCTTCCGCCTGCGACTGCTGGGTCTTTCACCAGGCGAGCAGAGCGGTTTCTCCTTGCCAAATAGGGCTGGACTGCACTAAACCTATGGCATGCGGATTCCCTGGCCACTTCCTACACTCATAAGATCGGAATCTATTGCGGAACTGTCTGCAAATCCTGTATTTTTAATTTTTTCTCCTCCCTCCTCAGCCCCGTGGTATTGGGTATTGAACCTGGGGTGCTCTGCCACGGAGATATATCCTCAACCCTTATTTTATTTTGAGATAGGGTCTCACTAAATTGCCCAGGACTCGAGCTCGCCATCATCACTCAACCTAGCTAGTCGCCGGGATTACAGGCGTGTGCCACTGCGCCTGACTGGAAATCTGTATTTTTAACAAGTGCCAGCTGGTTTCACGAAATACAGCGAATTTGAGAAACTTGGACTGTTAGTACAAGTCCTAACCCTTTAGTCTAGCCTCAAACGAATTAGCTTGGGTGGATTTCTGGCCACCGAGTATTGAACGCTGTTTGAGCTAGTTAGATATGTAAATTACATTTGAGCGCAGCGGGACTAACTCCCTTTTAACCTAGGCCTCTGACGCCATCTAGCTTCTACTCTGATCATTTTTGTTTTTCATTGTCTTTTTTTTTTTTTAATGCAGTATTTACTAGCTGGAAAATACATATGTAACATGTAAGTTATCGTGTATAATGCATACTCGTGTACTCAACAGCATATTTAAGTAAACATCACCACAACAATTGAACCATTTCATTTACCTAATCCAGCCTCTTTCTCCTTCCAAAGGTAACGGGATCTCCTGTCCTGATTTTTTTTTTTTTGGCGGTATTTTTTAGGGGCGCTCTACCACTGAGCTACATTCCCCAGCCCATCTAATTTTTTTTTTTTTAATTTGAAACAGTGTTTTACTCAAATGACCAGGCCGTTCTCGAGTTTGTGATTCTTCTGCCTCAGCCTCCGGAGTTGCTGGGGTTACAGATGTGCACCACTCTGCCCAGCTCCTCTCCTGAATTTTGTGTTTATTATTTTGTTTAAAAATTTTTTCATCATTATACATACAAATATATGTATACACACATATGTATTTAATATTAGGTGCTGGGGATGGAACCCAGAACCTTACCCATGCTAGGCAAGCACTCTACCTCTGAGCCGCACACCTGAAGACCGAGTTTATTCAAAGTATAACCTATGGATCAACAGAGAGCTTGTTGGAAATGCAGATTCTCAGGCCCTATTCCTGAGACTCAATCTCATTTTAACAAGATCTTAATTTGTGTGCACCCTGATATTTCAGAAGTGTTTCATAGAAGACAAGACATTGATTGGAGTTTGTTACGTGTAGCTGTAATTGCTTTTTTCCCTATCGTGTAATAGTCTTTGTTTGACTCATTTATTAATCCATTTTCCTGTTGGCTTTGTTATTGTTGGATTTCTTTGGAGGGACTGTTTTCAGCAAAATTGCCATTAACATTTTTATACATGTCATATGTTGCACATATGCAGTAGTTTCCAGTATACATTGTAGGAGAGTTGCTAGTCAACCTTAGTAGATATTGCCAAATTGTTTCCAAAAAGATTGTATGAATTTATATTCCTTTGGGAATATATAAGAATTCCCTGGGGCTGGGGTGATAGCTCAGCAGTAGAGCGCTTGCTTAGCACATGTGAGGCCCTGAATTCGATCCTCAGCACCACATACAAATGAATAAATAGAATAAACGTATTTAAAAAAAAAGAATCCCCTTTGCTTCGTATTCTCATCAATGCTTGGTTATTTTTGTTGTTATTGTTAGGTTGTTTGTTGTTTTGGAGTATAGGAGTTTAAACCCAGGGGTCCTCTTTTTTTTTTTTTGGTACCAAGGATTTAACCCAGAAGCACTTAATCACTCAGCCACATCCCCAGCCAGTTTTTGTTTGTTTGTTTGTTTTGTTTTGAGGCAGGCCTAACTCCTGCTGTTCTCCTTCCGAAGCCTCCTGAGCTGCTTTGCCACCACACTCAGCTAAACCCAGGATTCTGTACCACTGAGCCACATCCATAGCCCTTTTTAATTTATTATTTTGAGACAGGGCTTTACTAATTGCCATGACTGGCCTCAAACTTGCAATTCTCCTGCCTCAGACTCCTGAATCGCTTCGATTACAGGCATGTACCACTGTGCCAGGCTTGGTTATTAGTTTTTAAAATGTTTGTCAATGTGGTGTGTAGGTGTGTATCTGTTTTCTTCCTTCCTTCTTTTTTTTTTTTTTTTTTTGGCACTTTACCACTGAGCGACATTCCCAGCTGTTTTGTTTGTTTGTTGTTTTAATATTTTATTTTTTAGTTGTAGTTGGATACAATACCTTTACTTCACTTATTTATTTTTTATGTGGTGCTGAAGTGGGTTATAGGCATGTACCACCGTGGGCCCAATGTGTAATGGTATTTCATTGTGACTTTAATTTGCATTGTCTCAATGAATAAAAGCTTTATGTGTTTCTTACTCTGGGAAATGCCTCTTTGTGTCCTTTGTTTATTTTTCAATGAGATTGTATGGTAAGTAGAATAATGACCTCCTAAAGACGTCCACCAGGAACCTGTGAATGCGTTACCTTATACTACATAAAGGACTTTGCAGGTATGTTTAAGACTGTTTATTGAGATAATGGATATTGTAATTATCTTGACTTAATTCCACATTGTATTTATAAATCATAACATCACTCTGTATGCCATAAATATATACAATACTTTAGCAATTTGAAGTTGAAAAAAATTTTAAAATATATTTTTTAGTTGTTGATGGACCTTGATTTTATTTATTTATATATGGTACTGAGAATCGAACCCAGTGCTTCACACATGCTAGGCAAGCACTCTATCACTGAACCACAACCCCAGCCCTGCAGTTGAAAATTTTAAATGCAAAAAAAAAGTGGGGGGCAATATTGGCATGGGGAGATTATCCTGGTGGGTCCCATGTAATTACAAGAGCCACAGGAGTCCTTATGAGTGAAGGAGGGAGTCAGAAGAGTCAGAGGAGATGATGGAAGCAGAAGCCTGATGAGATTGCTGACTATGATAATGAAAGTGTTCCAAGAGCCAAGAGATGTAGACAACCTCTAGGAAACTGGAAAAAGCAAGGAAAGAGATTATTCCCCAGAGAAGGAATATAGCTCTGCCATATCTTGATTTTTTTAGCCCAGTGAGATCCACTTTGGATTACTAGTTTCTAGTACTGTAAGATGATAAATTTGTATTATTTTAAGACATTACATTTGTGATTATTCATTATAGCTGCAATAAGAAATGACTATAGATTTTTTATTTTTTGGTAGTACTGGCGATTGAACCTAGGGCCTCTAACACGAGAGGCTACTGTTCTATTCTACCATGGAGCTTCATCCCCGACCATTTATTTATTTATTTAGGTACTGAGGATTGAACCTAGGAGTGCCTAACCATTGACCTATACTCCCAGTTCTTTTTTATTTTTTGAGACAGGGTCTTGCTAAGTTGCTTAGGGCCTTGCTAAGTTGCTGAAACTGGGGTTGAATTGGAATCCACCTGCTTCAGCCTCCCAAGTCACCGGGATTCCAGGCAGGCAGTACTCTGCTCTGCAGGTTTTAATTTTAAATAGGGTATGCCAGGGTAGGTCTTGCTGAGAAAGTTCTATTTTATAGTTAATCCTTGTGCACATTCAGGGGAAGGAAGAGCATTTCAGGAAGAGGAAATAGTGCAAATACATTAGGATAAGAATGTACCTGACATGCCAGAAGAGAAATTACAAAGCTGTCTTGGCTGGAACAGAGTGAGAAAGGAGGATATTAAAGGGTATCAGATAACATAGAGGCTTCCAAGCCTTTGTAAGGACTTTGTAGGGTTTTGAGCAGAGAATTGACACCTAACATATTTAAAAAGAATCACTCTGAAAGCTGTAGTGAGAATAGATTCTAGGAAAGCAGAAATGGAAATGCAGAGTCCATCAGGTGGCTACTACAGTGATCCAGTGATCCAGGCAGCTGGGACCAGGAGAGCAGTAGAAAGATGCTGATAAAAGAGGAATCCTAGAAGGCAGGTGCAGTGGTGTTTGCCTATAATCTCAGCAACTCAGGAGGCTGAGGCAGGAGGATTACAAGTCCGAGGCCAGCCTATGTAACTGTAGATCTGTCTCCAAATAAAAATAAATAAATAAATAAAAAGGGGCTAGGGCTTTAGTTTAGTGGTAGAAAGCACCTGAGTTCAGTATTCAGTACCACCACCAAAAAAAAAAAAAAAAAAAGGACTGGATGGTGGCGGGGAGAGGGGGACATCATCATTAGCAAATATGTTAAATATATGGTGTTCCATGCTATGAGCCTAAATAAGATAATCAAAGGAATGAATATAAATATATGCATGGACAGAGACAAGGTTGGGCGTTCAGGGTGGTATGGTCACAGACTGAATAGAAAATACAAGAGGATCACTTTATTGTGGTCACTCTAGTATTAATAATTATTAGAGAACCCGACATGGTGGCGCATGCTGCCTGTGATCACAGGGGCTAGGGAGGCTGAGGCAGGAGGGTTTCCAGTTCAAGGCCAGCCTCAGCAATTTATCGAGGCCCTAAACAACTCAGCAAGACCCTGTCTCAAAA